TGGAAGCCCCCTGAGTTCACCGACTCTGATCATATTTAGACAAGGCCATGGTCAAAGTGGAAGTTCTCTCCTCCCTTCAGAGAAAGGTACCTCCTTTGATGACCTGTGATTTCCACTGGGATCTCACTCGCGGAGATCTTTCATTTAGGCTTTTTTTTTCCCCCCAGAGTGTCTTGGCTTTCCATGCCTGAAATACTCTCATGGGCTTTTCAGCCAGATCCGCATGCCTTAAGGGCTGATTATGAGGCCAGAGTGCTGTTTAGGACATCCACCATTCTATGGGTCTGCTGTGTATCTCACTTCCCATGTTGGATCGTTCTCTCCCTTTTTTATTCTATCAGCTAGTATTTGCAGACACTAGTCTTGTTTATGTGATCCCTTTGGTTCTTAGTCCTATCATTATGATTAATTGTGAACAGAAATTGATCACTGGGACTAGTGAGATGGCATTGGTACATGCCACCTTGATGGGATTGAATTGGAATCCCCTGGTATGTTTCTAACTCTACCGTTTGAGGTAAGTCAACTTGAGCATGTCCCGAATTGCACATCTCTTCCCTCTCTTATTCCCACTCTTATATTTAACAGTGATCACTTTTCAGTTAAGTTTCAGCACTTAAGAATTGTATTGATTACATCATTCAACCAAAAGTATTAAGTAGACCAAACAAACAAACAAAAAAATACTAAGAGGGATAACATATCAAGTTGCTCATCAACAGGGCAAGGGCTGATCAAGTCACCGTTTCTCATAGTGTTCATTTCACTTTAACAGGTTTCCTTTTTGGTGCTCAGTTAGTTGTCACCTATCAGGGAGAACAAGTGCTATTTCACTTAACTTTTATAAAGGTAGTGAAGAAGTTGTTTTGTAAGTAGAATATAATTGACATAATAGAAGCAATTCAGAACTGGTTAGAGTTAAGATGCTTGCTTCCCACACTGGAGTACCTAGGTTCAGTGGAATTTCCTTGCCATTGCCTCTGACCCTGGTTTCCTGTCAATGCAGATCCTAAGGCGCACAGTAACACCTCCAGTTACTGGGACCTAAACTGGGTTCCTAGGCCCTGGCTCTAGCCCCGGACATTATGGGCACTTGGGGAGTGAATGAGCAGGTGGGACTGTGCTCTCTTGTGCACGTGCTCTCTCTCTCTCTCTCTCTCTCTCTCTGTTTCTCTCTCTCTCTCTCTCACAAATAAACCGAACATAAGAAAAAGAAAAGCAAGTAATTACCGTGATTCCTCAGTATCCACAATTTGTTCCAGGAACCTGACAGATACTAAATTCTGTGTATATTCAAATTCCTTCTATAAAATGCTGTAGCCTTTACATATAACCCACACACATACTCTTGAATAACCTTTAGCTTTCTTATAACTAAATATTATATAAGCAGTTGTTATGTTGTATTGTTCGTGGAATAATGACAAGAAACATATCTGTATATATTCCCAGATAAAATGTTTGTTTTGCAATGTTTTGAACGTGTTGATACAAAATCATGGCCATGTAGTTCCAAAAGCAGTTAAAATGAACATGATATTTGAAGTTCTTAGAATTTGGAAAAGTTTGGGGGGCCGGCGCCATGGCTCACTTGGTTAATCCTCCACCTGCGGCACCAGCATCCCACCTGGGTGCTGTTTCTAGTCCTGGTTGCTCTTCTTCCACTCCAGCTCTCTGCTGTGGCCCGGGAGGATAGTGGAGGATGGTCCAAGTGCTTGGGCCCCTGCACCCACATGAGAGACCAGGAAGAAGACCCTGGCTCCTGGATTCAGATTGGCTCAGCGCCGGCAGTAGAGGCCATTTGGGGAATGAACCAATGAAAGGAAGACCTTTCTCTCTGTCTCTCTCTCTCACTGTCCATAAGTCTACCAATAATATATATATATATACACACACATATATATATAATTAAAAAAAGAATTTGGAAAAGCTTACCTGTTACAATTTTTAGCTTTAATTAACTTACTTTTAATATTTATTTATTTGAAAGGCAAAGTTACAGAGATAGAGAGACAGAGACAGAGACAGAGACAGAGGAAGGGACAGAGAGGAAGGGACATCCATTGTCTCACTCCCCAAATGACCGCAATGGCCAGAAATGGGCCAATCAAAAGTCAGAAGCCAGGAACTTCTAGGTCTCCCATGCAGGTTCAGAGGCTCAGGTACTTGGATCATATTCTGCTGCTTTCACAGGCACATTCTTAGGGAGCTGGATTGGAAGTAGAGCAGAGAGGACTCTAACAGGAGCCCATATGGGATGCCAGCACTGCAGAAGATGGCTTTACCTGCTATGTTACAGCACTGGCTCCTAATTATGCCTTGTTAAGCAAAGCAATGTTTTCTCAATTCTGTATAGAAAGTAATATTACATGCAAAGATGAGCACATAGCAATTTACATGAAAAACTTACATTCTGAAGTTTTAAAGAATTCCACATGATTGTTGCAAAATGTCCACTTACTTCCAGCTACTCTCTATCTCAGATATTTAGGGTTATTACCAAGAAAGAAGCACATGTCATTTTTGGAGGCACATATGAAGATTGGTATCCAGAGTTTTTCATGTTTTCATTGCACAAACGAGTGAGTGGAGTCCCAAGAGTCTGAAGCTAGGACATTTGGCCATGCTTTCATTCTCAGAGAGAGAACAAGAACAAACAGTTCAAGTACATACTTGACATATTCCTAAATTTCCTCGGCAAATTTGCAGAAGTGTTTTTAGTAATGAAATATTTAGCTTTTACTTTTTCTAACACTACTGGTGGCCAAATATGCCTTTATAAGAGTTGTTATTTCCGATTTAATTTCTCATGTGTGAAAGTATATTTTGCATGAATAGATACAGGACAGGTTTTAATCTATAAAGGAATAAAGTAACTAACAATGTCTCTTTGTCTGCACACTGAATTTTTTTCTGCTTGGCAGTTTTAGTGCTTGAATTAATGGAACCTAGAACTTTTTACTGTATGGAGTATGTTCATATTTACATTGATATTTAACACACATTCACAGATGTGCATAAGTAATGCAGTAACCTCTTTTCCAAATGAGTAAAAACAAAACAGAGGAACAAACATTCACTATAAAATCATGGATTTCAGGGGTAATTCTCAAGAAACTATCATGTTTTCCAAACAAATGATCTTCACCACCTTTAGAATTTGGATAGATATTTTATAAGCCATTATAAGGAGTTTATGTTCTCTCCTTCCTCCTAATATCTGTTGACTATTTTCTTTAATGATGTTGATGAGAAAACTAGCATGACAAGTGTTCCTTTTTTTTTTTTTTTTTTTGAAACTCTTCTCAGCAATTCATTCCCAATCTATGTCATGCCTGACACCCAGTACAGAATCCTTTCTGGAATAAATTGATTTATTTATTTTAAGCATAAAGAACAGGAGAAGGTGTTTGGCCTAGTAATTGGAACACACCTTGGAACATCTGCATCCCATATCAGAGTGTCTTGATTTGAGTCCTGGCTCTACTCCCTGCTGGGTTCCTGTTAGTGCAAATCTTGGAAGATGGCAGTGATGGCTCAAGTAGTTGGGTTCCTGCCACCCTTGTGAGAGACATTTGAGTTTCTCACTCCTTTCTTTGGTCTGATTCAATCCTGGATATTGGGAACTTTTGGAGAGTGAACCAGCATATGGGAGCCATCTGCCTAGCTGTCTATCTTGCTCTTTCTGTCTCTCTCTCTCTGTCCCTCTCTCTGTGTATTGCCTGTACGTAGTTTTGGTTTTTTTTTTTTTTTTTAGCAAGACTTGCTTTATGACCTAGCATATGGTCTGTTTCAGAGAAAGTTCCATCTACTGATGAAAAGAGTGTGTATTCTTCAGCTATGGGAAGAAATGTTCTGTAGATATCGATTAGATCCATTTGGTCAATAGTATAGATTATTTCTATTGTTTCTTTGCTGATTTTTTATCTGCTTGATCTGCCCATTGTTGAAAGCGGGGTGCTAAAGTCTCCCATTATTATTGAATGGAAGCATAGATCTCTGTTTAGATCCAGTAACATTTGTTTTAGATAGACAAATGCCCTAGAACTGGGTGCATGTACATTTACTATAGTCACATCTTCCTGCTGAATTGAACCTTAATTGGTACATAATGATCTTCTTTATCTCCTTTAGCACTTTTTGTCCTAAAGTATATTTTCTCTGATATAAGGTTAGCTACCCCTGCTCATTATTTATTTACATTTGCATGGAAGATATTTTTCCATCCTTTCAGTTTGTGTGTATCTTTGTTGGTATGGTATGTTTCTTGTAGACAGCATAAATATGAAAATTGTCTTATTAATAGATTTAGCCAGTCTGCATCTTTTTCAACATTTTTTTTTATTTGACAGATAGAGTTAGACAGTGAGAGAGAGAGAAAGAGAGAAAGGTCTTCCTTTGTCCATTGGTTCACCCCCCAAATGGTTGCCATGGATGGCGCGCTGCACTGATCCAAGGCCAGGAGCCAGGTGCTTCCTCCTGGTCTCCCACGTGGGTGCAGGCACGCAAGCACTTGGGCCATCCTCTACTGTATTCCCAGGTCACAGCAGAGAGCTGCACTGGAAGAGGAGCATCCGGGACTAGAACTTAGCCCCCATATTGGATGCTGGCGCTGCAGGTGGAGGATCAGCCACTTGAGCCATGGCACTGGCCCAGTCTGCATCTTTTAACTGAATAATTTAAGCCATTTACATTCAGTGTTATTGATAAGTAATGGTTTGGTAGAGCCATTTTTTCCATAAATATTCCTATAGGTCATTTTTGATCTCCTTTATTCTTTCACTAGGAGCTTTTCTGCCTTCACATTCTTTTGTGATGCTGATTATATTTCTCTGTTTCTGTGTATATTGCATCCTTAAGTATCATTTAAAAGGCTAGCTGGGTGGTGACAAATTCTTTTAGATTTGTCTTGGAAGGCCTTTATTTCACCTTCCTTTATAAATGAGAGTTTCACAGGATACAGTATTCTGAGATGACAATTTCTTTGTTTTTTCTTTTAGGACTTGGGATATATCTCTCCAGTATAGACCACATACTATACCATAAAACAAGCTTCAAAAAATAATAAAAAAAAAACTAAATCATACCATATCTTTTCTGAACACAGTGGAATGAAACTGAAAATTTGCAACATAAGAAACTGTAGAAAACCTACAAACATACAAGACTGAACAACAAGCTCCTTAATGAACAGTGCATCACAGGAAATCAAAACAAAAATAAAAAAATTCCTTGAAGTAAATGAAAATGACAATAGAACACATCAAACTTATGTGATGTAGCAAAAGCAATATTAAGAAGAAAGTTTATAGAACTAGTTATGTACATCAAAAAATTTGGGGGCTGGCCCTGTGGCGTAGCAGGTAAAGCCACCACCTGCAGTGCCAGTATCCCATATGGGTGGGTGCAGGTTCAGGTCCTGGCTGCTCTGCTTCCGATGGCTCTCTCCTATGGCCTGGGAAAGCATCAGAAGATGGCCCAATTCCTTGGAACTCTGCACTCATATGGAAGACCTGGAAGAATCTCCTGGCTCCTGGCTTCAGAGTGCCAATTGGAGAGTGTACCAGTGAATGGAAGATCTCTCTCTCTCTCTCTCTGTCTCTCTCTCTCTCTCTGCCTCTCCTTCTCTCTCTGTGTAACTCTGACTTTCAAATAAATAAATAAATCTTTAAAAAAGAGAAAGTGCACAGGTATTAAATAAATGATCTAATAATTCATTTCAAGAACCTAGAAAAACAAGAACAAACCAAACCCAAACAAGTAGAAGGAAAGAAACAACAATTAGAAAAGTAATAAACAAAATTGAAATCAAATTTTAAAAATACAAAAAATAGATGAAATGAAAATAAAAATGGAAAAATAAAATTGACAAACCATTAGCTCAACTAACCCAAAAAGGGATAAGACTATGATTAACAAAAAAGAGATGAAATAGGCAATATTGATAGAGATGAAATCAAAATAGAGATGAAAAAGACAATATTGCAACTGATACCACAGAAATAACAAGAACAATCAAGAATAATTACAAATAGCCATATGCCTACAAATTGGAAAATCTACAAGAAATAGATGGATTTATGGACACATACAATTTCCAAAATTGAGGCATATACACATAGAAAATTTGAATAAACCAGTAACTAAGACATAGATTGAATCTCTAATAAAGACCCTCACAACAAAGACAAACTCACTAATGGATGGCTTTCCTGATGAATTCTACTAAACATTTAAGGAAGAACTAATCCCAATTCTTCTTAAACTACTCAAAATATTGAAAGGAAGGAAATCCTTCCTAACTCCTCCTGTGAAGTCAGCATCACCTCAATTCCAAAATCAGAAATAGATAAAAAAGAAAGAGAATAATAAACCATTATTGCGGATGGCATAGTTAAAAAAAAAAAAAAAACACAACAAAATACTTGCTAATCAAATCCAAGAATGTATCAGAAAGATCATTCATCCAGACCAAGTAGATTTTTCTCTGTTATGCAGGAATGGTTCAACATATGCAAATCAATAATACATCACTTTAACAAATTTAAGAATAAAATTATATGAGTATCTCTATAGACACAGAGAAAGCACTTGATAAAATACAACATTCTTTCATGATAAAAAACCTTTTATAATTGGGTGTAGAGAAACATCCCTCAACACAACCAAGGCAATATATGACAAATGCACAGACAGCACTGTATTGAATAGGGAAAAGCTAGAAGCATTTCCACTAAGATCCAGAACCAGAACAGGATACACACTCTCCTTTATTTCAATTTTTATTCAATACAAATCTGGAAATTTTACCCAGAGCCATTAGGCAAGAAAACAAAGGGATACAAGTAGGAAAGGAAGTTAAATTATCCCTGTTTGGACATAACATGATCCTATACATAGGAGACCACAAAGACTACACTAAGAGACTATCTGAGTTCATAAAATAGTTTGGCAAAGTTGAGGATACAAAATCAACACACAAAAAATGAGCATTCATGCACACTATCAATGTCATTGATGAGAAAGAACATATAATATCAGTCCGTTCACAATAGTTATAAAACATTTAAGAATATTGGGATACATTTAACCAAAAATGTAAAAGATCTCAATGGAAATTACAAAAAATTAATGAAAGAAATATAAGACACAAAAATTTAGAAATTTCTTTCCTGTTCATGGTTTGGAAAAATTAGTATCATCATAATACCCATTCAACCTAAAGCAATTTACAGATTCAGTGTGATCCTCCCAAAAAAATGACAAGAGCATTCTTCTGAGATCTAAAAAAAAAAAAAAAAGAAAAAAAAAAGAAAACCTAAACTTCATATGGAAACACAAGAGAAGCTGAATAGTTAAAACAATCTTAAACAATAAAAATAAAACCAGATGCATCACAATACCAGATTACAATAAATACTACAGTTGTTATTGTCAAAACAGCATGATACTGACAAAGAAATGGATATGTGGACCAAAGGTGCAGAATAAACTCCAGAAATTAATCCATGCATCCAGAACCAACTAACCTTTGACAAATTAGCTAAAATCACTCCCTGGAGAAAAAACAGTCTTTGCAAACAACTGTATGGGGAAAATTGGATCTCCACAGGCAGAAGTATGAAACAAAACCCTTATCTTATACCCTATGCAAAAACTCACATTAGATGAAATGTTTAAAAATGAGAGCAAAAACTATAAAATTACTAAATCAAAGCATAGGGGAAATGTTACAAGACATTGGTACAAGCAAAGACTTCTTGGATAAGACCCCAGAAGCACAGGTAATAAAAAATAGACAAATAGGATCGCATCAAGTTATGAATCTTCTGCATAGCAAAAGGAAAAGTTCAAACAATGTGAGGAGAAAAGTTATGGAATGGGACAAAATATTTTTGCAAATTATGAATCACCTCAACAACAACAAAACAAATAATCCAGTTTTGAAATGGGCTAAAGACATGAGCATGCATTTTTTTCCAAGGATGAAATACAAATGGCCAAGAGACACATGAAAAAATGCTAGGGATTTCTAGCCCTCAGGGAAATGTAAATTAAAAAATCTCAAATGCAAATTTTAAAAAAAGTATGGTTTTATCTCACCCCTATTAGAATGGCTATTATCAAAAAAATTAAAAAAAAAATGTTGGGGACAATGTGGAGAAAATTACACTATAATACACTGTCAATGGGAATGTAAACTGTTACAGCCGGTATGGAAGACAGGATAGAGATTCCTTGAAATCTAAAATGTGATCTATCATATGACCCAGCCAGCCCACTCCTGAGAATATAACTAACGGAAATGAGATCAGCATATGAAAGAGTTGCCTGTACTCCCATACTTAGAGCAGCTCAATTCATAATAGCTAAGATATGGAATCACTCCAGATGCCCATCAACTGATGACTTGATAAAGAAAATGTGATATATACACCTGATAGAGTATACTAAGCCATTAAAAAGAATGAAATCCTGACTTTTACAAAAATTGATGCAATTGGAGACCATTATGCTTAGTGTAATAAGCCAGATCTCAAAAGACAGATAGCATGTTTCTTCTGATTTGTGGTATCTAATATATAGAGTAACATAAAAATATATGAGTGAAATTGACAGCATGGAATTTGGTTATTTTTATAGCATTATCTCTATTCCTCCAGAGTAGTGGTCTTTCTTATTTTGGCTTGTTGAACTCTTTATTTAATGGAGGATTAAGCCTGTGACTATCAACTAATTTAAAAATATGTTATCACAGAGAGTAAAAAAAAAAAATAAAGAAATGAAGGAGGAGGGAGGGAATAAAGTATCATTATATTCTTTAAATTGTGTGTATATAAACTGCATTAAATCTGTTTCTTGATATTAATAAAAACTCAAATAAAAAAGGAAATAAACAAGTTGAAATAAGAATTTCTTTTGAAGACACTTGAACACAATTTTTACCTTGGGAAACAGTATTATATAAACATTTAAAATATTCTCATATAATATAAGGAAACAATATTAGTGCTACCAGAATATTAATTATAATTTTATATATACTTGTGTATTCCAATAGCATGAAGAATTTTATTTATTTCATCATTTATTAGTTTGAAAGAGAGAGAGAAAGAGAAATAGAGAGTTAGAGAGAGAGAGAGAGAGAGAATTCTTTCATCTGCTAGTTCACTCCCCAAAGGCCTGTAACAGAAAGGTCTGGTCCAGGACCAGAGCCAGGAACTCAATCCAAGTGCCTCATGTGGGTGGTAGGCATCCAAGACTTGAGCCATTAATACTGTATCTCAGAGTGTGTATGAGCAGGATCCTGGAATTAGGAATAGTACTGGAACTCATCCCCAATGCTCCTATATGGGATTACAGGCATGACAACTGGTGTCTTTAACCAATAGGCTAAATATCTGTCCCAATACTTTATTATACCACTACCAATTAAAACACTCCCAAATTTAAACTAAAGGATTTTTTAAAAAATGAAATTTGTGAATTGTATTATTTTCTGGTTAAAATTTTAAGACTCTAATGAACTCATTTCTTAATTAAAATATCATGAAATATAGCAGCTTAATGAAACCATAAATAAGCATATAGATACTGAAATGAAAATGATCAGAAATAAAAAGGATTACAGAAAAAAAAACAAATTAGGACATTTTCCTTTAAAATTATTTAATATTCTGGAAACTAAACAATGTCAAAACAAAAACTTAAATATGTTTTGATATCTTTTAGAGTGCTGTGTATAATAACAGAGTAAAAGCAATGCCATTAACAGTAACAGAATAATAAAAATGTTTGTTGACAAAAAGAGATCAAACAATTGATAGCCTGATGGGACTGTTTGAATATCAATTGACTTATTGGTCTTTCCATTTTCAGCCAGTGTGGCAACTGTAGATTTAATCTCTGTCTCACAAATGCTTACAAGAGAGACCAGGAGGAGCCAGGAGAATGAGTGTGCACGTGTTTGCCTCTGTGTTCTACTGCTTCTTTGTATATGCTCTACTTTACGAAAAGAGAGCATAGTGTCAGAAGAGCAACTTTTTGCTGCTGTTACCTTGCTATCTTCTGGAATAGTAGAGGGCTGGCAGCAGAGAAGAGTCCAGTGTCTTCTGGAGCATTCAGTCTCAATGCGTTCAGTGTCACAGTTCCCAGAGTGAAGCAAGGACTTTGAGGAGTCCTTTGGATAACCAATATATTATTTTTCTTCTTCTAAACATAAATGAAATAATTTACATTTCCAAAAAAGAAATAATTTACATCAATTATTTATTGTCTTTGAAAGCTTGAGCTTTCACACACTGTTGATTGCTGCATCGAGTGGTATGAAACCAAGCTCAGTGTGTTGGATGACATTGATTCAGAAGGTGAGTCTCCCAGCTCAGTTCAGAAAATTTTGTTTCTGTTGGTGTTGGGAAGGCACAAAGAATATGATTATGCCTACTCCAGCATATATACTATACCTTTACTTATTCTGATTTGTCTGGGACCCTGTTCCATTAGGGATTATTCATGTGCTGATTCTAAAGGACCAACATTTAAAATAACTGCATATATTAAACAGAGGTGGAATTTATGGTGAATGACAGATAGTATTGCTAATAAACTATGATTTGATGATCAAATATTTTACCTGTTTCACATAGCATAATTTAATTAAGAGATTGCTTTAAGCCATTTTCTTTTATAATTTCTGTAGCAACCAATCCAAAACTGGAAGAATGTTATTCTTTACTTGAAGCTTTCTGAATTATCTTTAGCTATAATCTGAGCAAATAACATTTTTGATATTAAAAGTTATGACAATAGTTAACTTTTTTAAAAAGATTATTTATTTGAAAGTCAGAGTTACACAGAGAGAGGAGAGGCAGAGAGAGAGAGAGAGAGAGAGAGAAAGAGGTCTAAAAAAAGAGAGAGAGAGATAGAGGTCTTCTGTCTGCTGGTTCACTCCCCAGTTGGCTGCAACGGCCAGAGCTGCACTAACCTGAAGCCAGGAGCCAGGAGCTTCCTCCAGATCTCCTACATGGGTGCAGAGGCCTAAGGACCTGGGCCATCTTCCACTGCTTTCCCTGGCTATGACAGAGAGCTGGATTGGAAATGCAGCAGCTGGGATTCAAACCGGTGCCCATATGTGATGCTGGCAGCAGCCTCACCCACTATGCCACAGTGATAGACCCGACAATAGATAACTTTTATATCTAATATTTTATGTCTGAACATGACTTCAAGTTTAAAATTAGTAAGAGTTAAATGCATATTGAACTCTTAAAACTGAATTAACTTTTTGTAAGTGGATGAGTTTCACCCATATTTGCTCTTAGAGTTTGCTGTGTGGTTATGCTACAACTGATCTATCCCATATTTTGCTGAAAAGATAAAACAGTATTTCTGGTTATTAAATTTTACAAAATAAAATCTGTGATTTTTTTATGTTTGCCTTTAGTTCAAATGTGA